AGCCGGGGCTCACCCGGAGCGCGTTCGGGCTGACACGGCCGAGGCTTCCCGGTGAAACCCGTCCCGTGTCCTTCCAGCGAGGGGCTGGGCTCGTAGCCGGGCTGAGGGGGCAAAGTATAAAACGCCGCCTGCGTTTTGTACTTTAATTGCTCGCAGTTAAGGCCAAGTTGGACGGAGCCTTGAGTAGCCTGATCTAGTTGCGAGGCGTCCCTGCCCATGACAGGGAGGTTGGACTAGATGATCTCTAAGGTCCATTCCAGCCTGGGCCATTCTATGATTCTATGATGATTCTATGATATCTGGGAAGTGTCTCACTTGTTCTCCCTGCAGCCGTATTGCTTGCCTTAGTGTAAAGTCTGGCTTTGGGGATAGAGTCTGACCTGAGTTACCCTTGGGAGAGACGTTTTCTGTATGTTGCAGTGGGACAGCTTAAAAGCTGGCTCTTGGCCCTTCTGGTTTCCTGTATTGTTTTTTTTTTTTTTACTTTTTTTTCATTTGAGGGATTTTCATCTGCTTTGCAATGTATGAAGTAACGAGAAAGCATACATATCTTTTCCAGTTCTAAAAGTGTAATCAGAAAACCTTCACTTACAATGTTGCAGACTTAAGATTTGATGTACTGACAGTGGCTCCCCTGACAGAAGGTTAAAGGAGAACGTTGCAGTTGCATATCTGTGTCCTGTTTTTTCAAAAGGCCCTTGAGTTGCAGCTTTCCATTGTTACTGTGACTTTTTCAACAGGAAAATAATAACTGAATGAAAAACCCTCTGCCCATCACTCTGCTGTAGTGCTACCTGGCCTGCCAAGACTGACAGTTCTGTCCCAGGGTTGTCTCTCAGCAGGATCTAGATTGCTGCTGCACATCTGGAGAAGTGGAATTAGCAGGCTGCTGGACACTGGGTTATAGGTCTGGGTTTCAATTTCCTGTGATAAAGGCAGAAGTATTGTTTGCTGTGTTCTTGATTTCCTCCATTTAAAAATGAAAGTGATGAAATTTGCCTGCCTTTGTAAATTCCTGTTGTGGATTGAGGGTGGTGTCCCATATGAAGTTGAAAGGGGCAAAACAGTCGTGCAGCATCAGCACCTTGTGTTCTCTAAATTGCATTCTACACACTGGTCTAGAGTAGGAGAACTAATGCCCTTCTGGCCTAGATGTCCCACAGGATAGGCCAGATGTTGCAGTGGCCTACTTTATTGTTGAATCATTGCGATAGATTAATTCCAGGGCCCTCTGGAACAGGTTACAGACCTTGGGTTTTTGGTTTGGTGGTGGGTGGGGTTTTTTGTTATTTTTGTTTCTTTTATTGTTACTAGCAGTTGTTACACAGTAACGATTGTAGAACCCTCGGCTTTGCCTTTCCTTGTCTGCCTGTCATCACCACACAGGTGATGCTTCTGTAAGTTGTGTCTCCAGAATGTACAAGAAGTAATTACTTTGTAGTTTCAGTGGGGCCCTGAATTTTGGTCACTTTGTTAGAAGAGTTGCTAAAGGAATTACAGCGTAGCTGGAAATACTCACAAGCTATTGTTTTATTTCTTATTAATGCTGTGCATTTAAAGACAGTTTTACAAATTCCTGTAGTTATTTGTGGAGCTCGGGGGTTGTATGTGTTGGAGGAAGAAACACAGAATGCTCTTTGCGCTTCCCTCCTATGTCTTTGCCTAGTATCTCTTAACTTTATGTAAGATAAAACTGGGAAACACAAGTTGAGCCCCTAGGGCTCGTCTGCATTGGAATGCCTGGGGATAGCACAGAAAGCATTAAAGGAAACAGAAATGGTTGTTTGTTTGTCTTGGAAAAAATGCCCGTGTCCTGTGTATCTTTCTCCTCTCTGCAGGCAGGGGTCAGCAGCAAGCGGAGAGCTGTGAGGGCCCGGTTGAGGGGCACTGAGTTATGAGTATTCCTTTGTACAATGATGATTTTTAGTTGAGATTCTGTCTCAGTATATGTAATCTCAAGAGGCTGCTGGTGACATTGTGTACTTGTGTGCACTGCCCCTTGTTACAGTGGCACCTTATTTCTTTAAGCAAACATTTAAAATTTGTATTCCAAAGTTCCACCAAATTTCTTGGAAAGGAAAGGTGTGCTTTTAAAAGATATATCTTGGAGAGTTTCACTTCACGTAGTGTCTCTTTGTTTGTTTCTAATGATTTTTTTTTTGCTTGCTTTTCAAGGGGATCCCTCCTTTGGTGCTGCATGACCAGTGAGTTCTTTAAATACATTCCAGCAGTGGTCACACAGAACTGACAAACTTCAGCTGGAGGAAGGAAGATGATGTCCTTGGATAGATCAAAGAAGAGAATCAGTAACCTGGTAACCTCCCTGTCCTGTTAACAACTTCTCCCTTGGGAAATGGGACTTTGCTGTCACTAGTTAGTACTTGTTCTGTTGTGAGCAGTGAGGTTACTGTGGTGTTACTGAGAACTCTTTTCGTTGCTCAAGTATTTGAGGGAGAATGTCATAGGTGACAGTAGGAGCTGAAATCATGCTGTAAGCATGCTTAAGACACTTAATGCACAGGGCTTCCAAAGTAGAAAGGAAGTTCTGTCAGCCTTGGAGGGTAATCCTTTTTCATACACAGCTTATGTGGATGTCTGGCATTTTTTTTCAGAATGTTCTGGTTTGAAAGTGAAAATATGTTTTCACTCCCAATTCTCTGTAAATGTGCGTGGTGCCTGGTAGCCCTCATGAAATGTTTATGTTGTAATCTGAACAATTAAACTTGTAAAGTTTTTCAATAGCTGGTATCTTCCCTACAAAACAGGATTTATTGTAAGGTAAGACTTGAGCTAGCACAATTCAGCAGTTGCAGAGAGTAGCTTTGACGGAATGTTGTTTGCCTAGCTTAGAGCCTGGAGACTTTCTCTGAAAAGCTCTAGTATTCTCATGATCTGGGGCAGTGGCCTGACACTAGCGTGTGGCTAAAGGGGTGGGCTGGAGCTGTATTTTTTGTTATATCTTTTAAAAAGTAGTTCCTCTGAGCCCATAGGAAATTATATTTTTAACATTCTTGGCTAGAACTCCTAAAAAATATTAATGTCTGTAGAGTATCTATTTAGACCATACTGTAGCACATATCTGCACAGGACTTCCTTATCTACCCATGCAGCATTGGCAACAAACAGGAGGGGTTGGAAGCTACTGTGCTGCTAGACAGCCACGACATAGGGGCCATTGGTAAAACTTGGTGGGATGAATCCTGTGACAGGACTGTGGCTATTGATGGCTAAAAGGTGTTCATCAGGG